CAAAAATAAATTATTATTAATAATAATAATAAAACTCACCAAGTTATTATATCCTCGTGTGATGTGGGTAACAACCGTAATAGTAATAATAATAATACTATTGATAATGATGATATTATTATAATTAACACGTTTTAAAAAATAAAAAAAAAGTCGTCGTTAACATAAAAAACAAAAAACACTAAACTAAAAAAATAAAAATAAAATAAAATAAAACTATCATTATTATTATTATTATTTCTCTTTCATTAACTTATTTGTAATAATAAATAAAAATTAATAAAAAAATTAATAAAAATTAATAAATGATGGAAAAAATGAAAAAAAAAAAAAATGGCGAATCGTTATCAGGGGTCGTCGTCGTCGTCGTTTACATTTTTTTTTTTTTTTTCTATTAACCAGATTAGGTTATGGTATCGTATTTAACTTCATACATATAAAAAAAAAAAATTAACACTCCGCGATACGTAACACATTTAACACACACGCAAACACACGCGCCCGTGAAAGAGAGAGAGAGAGAGAGAGATACGGTAATATATAAATAATAATAATAATTAAATTAATATTAATAATAATAATAATAATAATAATGATAAAAAATTAATCGAAACGTTTACGTTAAATCAAAAAATTAAAAACGACAACGACGACGACAACGACGACCTAGACGACCAAAGCAAACGAATTCGTATACTATTCACATTAACAAACAATAATAATAATAATAATAATAATAATAATAAATAAATAAGTGCAAATTTCACGTAAAAAAAAAATAAAATAAAATAAAATAAAAAAATAAAATAAAGAAAATTAATTACGCTTACGAAATGAAAAAAAAATAAAATCGTATGAGAAAAACTAACGTAGTTTTTTTCCCCGTTTTTTTTTTTTTTATAAAAAACAATACATCATCATCATCATCGTAGTAATAATAATAATAATAATCATCAAACGTTTATTTATTTAATTTTTTTTGAAAATAACGTTTTTTTTTTTTCTTATACGTTAAAGAACTTAATTATTATTATTATTAATTTACACGAAAATTCACGCGTTATTTTAATTAAATATTACACCGCGTAGTTTTTTTTTTTTTTTGGTTTTAAAACGAAAAAAAAAAACGATTACATTTTATAATGAAAGAAATAATAATGATGATAATTATAATAAATATGTATATATGTACACGATATACGACTCGCGTGCGAAACGAGATCCTAACCGCACAAACGTTTCGCGCCTACTAAATCAAAGAGAGAGACTGAACGAACTCAATTGATGAATGTAAATGGAGGACAGCGCTCCTTGCGTAATCGAATGATAACATTTTTTTTTTCATTTATTTCAATCTTTTTTCTTTTAAACTATTTAAAGATTAAAATTTCGTTTTTTTTTCGTTTTTCTTTTTTTTTTTTTAAATAAAAACTTTTTTTTATTTATTATTATTATTATTTATTTAAAAAAAGGAAAAAAAAGAAAACGCGCGAACGTATAATAAAGAACGATTACGTCATTAATTACGTAATTAATTACGTTCAGAAATCGCGAGTACAAAAATTTGTTAAGTTTTAAGGGGTGATCGGATCGGTAGCGACGTTGCCAAATTTTTTTTTTTTTTTTTGAAATTTCAAAAAATTTTCGTTCGAGAACGAAAATGACGAACAAGTGTTCGACAAGTAGTAAATGAATAAAATATTGAATTATTAATTTTAACGAATAAAATTATTAAATCTAATGACACGACGATTTCGGAAAACGTTTTTTTTATGAAAAAGAGAGAGAGAGAGAGAGAGGGGAAGAAAGAAAGAGAGAAAAAAGAGAGAAAAAAGAGAGAAAAAGAGAAAAAATTTAATTAAATACGACGAAATCGACAAATTTTCACAACCAAATTTTTTGTTTTTTGTCTTTTTTTGATAAAACAAACGACAAACAACAAACGACAAATAAGATTGTCCAGAACAATTTTCCGTATTTCACCTACAAACGTCAAACAAACAACAAACCATTTTCTCGGTTTCATTTCGCATTTTCGTCATTTTTATTTTTTTTTTTTTTACGTTCAACGACAAACAACAAACAACAACCAACAAACAAACAAACAAAAACGAAAAATTATTTTTAAATAAAAGCTAAAAGTGCAAAGCAATAAAAATTTTTTTGTGATATAAAAAAAAAAAACGTTGATAAGCTAAGTAAACAAGGTTATTATTATTATCCACGTGAAAACGTTCGCCTATTATTATTATTATTATTATTATTATTATCATTATTATTAATTCCAGTTGATAATTCTCTTCTCTTATTGTGTATTCAAATCAGTAAAACTTCTTTTTTACATAAATTAATATCTGTTTTATTAAAAACTAGAAAAAAAAATTTTAATTAATTTTTTTTTATATATAAAATGCATAATTCTAAAACCACGACTATAATCCAAGTTCATCTCTATCTCTCTCTCTCATTCACACACAATATTCGCATTTAATTCGATAACGTTATTAATAAATAAATAATTTTAATTATTATTATTATTATTATTATTATTATTAAATCCACCGCTCCCGGGTGGTCGGCCATCTTTTTTTTCTTTTCTTTTTTTGAATTAATAAACCTATTAACGAAAATTTTTTTCTTTATCCTGTAAATAATAAATTATGTATATTTAAAATGTTGCAATCGGAAAAAAAAACAAATTCAAAATGTCTACGTCTACGTGCACGATTATAAACTTTTAATAAACTATTAGAAATATTCAAAAAAAAAAAAAAAAAAAAGAATTTAATTAATATGCAAATGACGAAAAAGCGAACGCCATGAAAGAAAGAAAGAAAAACGTGACATTAGTCGAGGGGGGTAGGGTGACGGGGAGGAGGAGGAAAACGAATGTTCTAGAAAACATTGACAAATTTATTCGATTAATGCGTTTAAACGAATTTCTTTATTTCATTATCGACTTGTTGTAAACGTCAGACGAACAAAAAAACTTTCGTTACGTTGCCTTCCACGACGAATTTCTCGCTGAAATTGTTACAATAATAATAATAATAATAATAGGGGGATGGGTAACGTGAATAATAATGAGATTGAAATTGCGATAAGATAAAAATTGGGTGAGGGGAAACGAATTGAGAGTAAGAAAAGGAGGGGAAGGGAGGAATTTGGTCAGAAAAAAGTGGAGTGAGGAAAAAAGTTGAGAGCGAGACAGGGTAAGGGGAAGTGAGTAGACAGGGAGAAAGGAGGGGAGGGGGAGGAATTTGGCCAGAAAAAAGTGGAGTGAGGAAAAAAGTTGAGAGCGAGACAGGGCGAGGGGAAGTGAGTAGACAGCGAGAAAGGAGGGGAGGGGAAATGCGATAAGAAAAAAAATGGGGTGGGTAAATTAGACAACAATGGAAAAAAGTGGAAGGGGGAAAATGTAATTTTCAAATTATCATTATCATTATTATTATTCTTATTGTTTCATCATTTTCGGTTAGCCAAAACGTGACGTCATCGCAAGCTAGCCAGACAGATAACGAACGAGTACATTCGAACGAGAAAAATTTTAAAAAAAGTTCGTTACAAATATTACACGTTCGAAACCGTTCGCCATTAATAAATCATTATCATTATCAGTACGATTAATACGCAAACTCGTTCGTCATTTTTCAAATAATAATAATAATAATAATATCGGAAAATATTAGCAAAAATAGCACCAACGAAATTCGAGCATTTATCCCTAAGGAATCGGGTAGAAACCTGGAATAAATACTTAAAAATCCCTACAAATAAGAACCTTGTCGTCACTTTGAAAGTGACAATAATAATAATAATAAAATAAACGACAACGAATTAATTCGATTCTTCTTCTTCTTTATACCTGTACAAACAAACAACAAACAACAAACAAAAAACCGACCAAACGTTTAATTAATAATAATAATTTTAAATGACGTCATCACAGAAAACTAGAAAAAAAATTAAAATTAATTAATTAACTCTATTATAATTGTTATCCTACGTATTACTGTTATTATTATTATTATCATTATTATTATCATAGTCGGGGGGGAAAAAAACGTTCGCTAAGGACCGACGAGTTTTTAAATGATAATAATGATAATAATTATTATTATAATTTTTGCATTTGATCAACGTAATGTAAAATTCTTCAAGTTTCCATCATTTCTTTTCCGCGAACGGTTATTTAAACGAACGGATTGTTAGTTTTATCATTATTATTATTTTTTAAAACAAAAATTATAATAAAATAAAATATTTTATTCCATTATTGTTATTATTAATATATATAAAAAAAAAATTATTATTATTAAAAATACAACAAAATTTATATTCACAATAAGTTAAACATTGTTTATAACATATATATATTTAAATATGTATATAAAAAAAGTTTTTTTTTTTTTTTTGGACGGAATTTGGCAGACTTTTTTCTATTTAATTTTTCGTACGTGAGCACGAATGTAACAAAAAAAAAATTAAATAAAATAAATAAGAACGTGAGAACGTGCGTTCGAAAAAAACTTTTATGAATGAAAATTTTTTTTTTTTTCCCATTGCGAACGTTGAACGAACGTTAACCGTTCGAAAATCAAATTTCGTTAACGTTGAACACGTAACGCGCTCTATGAATTATTCTCACAACTATTTCAACATTGATAAGCTTTTCATTTAAAAACATAGATGGTGTTGTTGAGTTCAACAACATCAACTATTAACATGCAAATGGCCGCCGTCGAGTAATTGTAAAAGCCAATTTTATATATCTCTCGGCGTTAAAAACACACACACACACACACACACATACATACATACACACACGTAAAATTATTTTGTTTTTCAGGCTCTGATTAATAAATCATCAGCTCCCCGTTGATAATTTAAATTAAGATATTTGTCTTAATTAAACCTACTTTGAAATTGAATAAATATTCATCGTGAAGCATTTGTCTCCTTCGTGTTAATATATATATATGTACAATTTGTTTATGTAATCACGGATAAAGCAAGTAAATGTTTGGAGTTTGTGTATCTGCTATGATTTTATACATGGAATAAACGCAAAGCCAGCAGTAAAACTAAAACGATTAAAAAAAAAAATTTTTTGTAAAATTTGATACCAAAAATTCTCGAATGATAATATATATATAACTCACATTGTAAGCTAGCCATATCCAATTGACGAAAGCTGCAAATACTGAATTCAACTGAAAAAGTTTTATTTAATAGTTATTTATGAAAACAAGAATAATAATAATAATGATGATGAATGAATTGATTTCTTACATATATGTAATATCCACCGAGGAGCCAAAGACTGAATACCATTTGAAATGCGCAAACAAGACCGAAACCAATCATCCAAGGCAACATGAGTCCTCTTGTTTTCGTATTTATACCGACAACCATTAAAATGCTAAAAATAATGAGCAACAAAAGGTAAAGTATGAAGAACCCGCCAACTGCTTGCATGGCTGCCAAAAAAAAAATAAAAAATTTCCCTCGTGAGACATTAATTAAAAATAAATAGCAGAATATTGTATTCGTTCAGCAAACTTACAATCTTTAACATCTGTTTCGAAAAGCGGTGAATATAATTGAGAAGATTCTCCACCGTTAAGCATGTAAGCTATCATAGTTATCAATACCACGCTGATCATCTGAAACGAATAACTTATTCAGTATCACATGCCTAAAAACACTTCAAATACAAAATAATCCACACTTACTGCTGTGTAAAAAGCGACAGCTTTGCTTCCAGTTTTGACATTTGTGATCCATATGCAAGGCGTCCAACATGATTTTAAAACAGGCATCTGTAAATCACATTTAATAAACGAATGAATTTCAATTGTAAACAGAGCAAATCAATTTTAGGGAAAATGCAATAATTGACCGAGATCTTATTAACAATATATATATACTGACGATTACGCAACGTTGCAATTATTAATTAATAATAATAATAATATGATAAACGTATAATGATTAAAATTTTAAAACAATCAAATATGAATGACAGTAAAGTTAAGCATTGTTTAACGAATGCGAGTCGTATATACAATAAAGAGGACACGCCTACTAGTATAAAATTTACCTTATTTTAATTAATCACGTAAAATATAAAAATTATAAATAAATTAAATTATATTCCGCCATTTTATACGTACCGTGACTCAGAAAAAAAAAAAAAAATTTAAATAAAATAAAATCCCTTCTACTACTTCTTCTTATTTTTCTTCTTCGACAAAAAAAAAATTGCAAATAAAAAAAAACACGTGTCATTAGTAAATACGATGTTTAAGTGTAGTTGACACGACCGTTATTGAATCGATTAACCGGAAACAATATGACGAAGTAAACAATGTCGTCTGTATTCAACAAACGCATTTACAATGTATATTTACAATAGATTATCATTTAAAATTATATTAATTTATAATTAATATCATTTTTATTAATTTTTTGAAAATGTAAAAAAAAAAAAAAATGGTTTCGACCAGGGGTAATAAATATAAATTTACGGATGGGGAAAGAGTTTTATGCTACGAACCTGATCCGACAAAAGCAAAAGTTTTGTACGATTCAAAGGTAAAAAAAAAATAAATCGTTTTGTTTCATGATTCGATTTTAAAATATCAAAAAATTATGTCGTCATTTACCATTATCGATTAATATTTGATTGTCTTTATATGTTTCCACTTATTTTATTATATTATTATGTTATTGCTGTCAAATATAACAGTTAATTTATATTTGTTTTATTTCAGGTTCCTTACTTACCCCTGGTTGTTAAATCCTGATTCCTTTCCATAACCCTTTCACACACAATGGAATGCTGTCATTTAATCACTGTGAAGTTTTTCCTTTCCTCGAGTAAAAAAAAAAAAAAAAATAAATATATAATCTATCACCAAAAAAAATAAACAAAAAAAACCTATGTAAATTGATAATAATAATAATAATAATAATTATCCATTTATCATCTTATTGTAGCACTTACACTGATAATAATAATAATTTTTTTATTTTTCTCGATAAGGTTCTCGAAGTTATAGTTGGAAAAGATGAAAAGGGTAGGAAAAATGTCGAATACCTCATACATTTCCAAGGTTGGAATTCATCCTGGGATAGGTGTGTGAGCGAAGATTACGTTTTAAAAGACACAGAAGAAAATAGAAAATTACAAAAGGATCTCGCTGATAAAGCACAACTTCAACTTGGAGCTTATTTATATCGAAGAGATAGAAAGAAAAGATCAAGAACGCTTTCGCAAAAAATAAACGAAGCATGGGATTCAGGTACGAATTCATGTTCTAGTAAAAAAAGTCAAGATGATAATGATGATTTGGAAACGACAACGGAAGATGACGAACTTGGAGAAGATGGCGATATCGATGATGGTAATGATGATGATGACGATGATGATGATGAGGATGATGGTGACGATAATGACGACGATGATGATGACAATGATGATGATGAAGAAGTAGAAAATGGAAACGATAAGAATAAAGGTTCATTAATGGACACGGACGATATATTAGATGAACGAATCCCGTTGGATTTGAGCAATCAAATGAAAGCTTATCTCGAAGAGGATTATAATTTAATCAATAACGAACTCAAGGTACGTGGGTATCGTTTAAATTACCTTTCGATTAGTAATTAATCGATATTATTCTCACAACAGGTTGTTATACTACCCGCGTCGCCAACGGTTTTAGAAATACTTGAAAGTTATATAAAACATTGCGGCGTTAAACAACCGAACGAATCGGAATCAAAGTCTCAAAGGCGTACGAGAAGTCATTTTCAAGATACTCGAGAGGTTGATCCAATGAAAGATTTCGAAGCCATGGTTGCAAGATTGAATTTGTGTAAGGAAATCGTAGACGGACTTAGAATATATTTCGATTTCACACTCGGTCAACTCCTTTTATACGATTACGAACGTCCACAATTCGAAGATTCTCGAACGGAATCCAAAGAATATGATAGGGATTTGAGAATACCATTTATTAAACAGGAACCTTACGACAGTCTCAGCGAAGACGACACGAGTCAAAACGTTTCACAAAGTAGTGCTGATAATAATAATACGGATATTAGAATCGAATCTGAAACTAGTGAGTAGTAGAAGTAGTAGTTAGGTTCCTCTAGGTTGATAAGGTTTAACGTTTTATCTCACTCTTTCAGTTGACAGCGAACGGAAAAGAAGTTTGAGGTCACATAGAGAACCCGTGACGTCAAACGAACCCACGTGCAGTCTCATTCAATCGAGTCAACCCGTTTCGAATAACGGAATTGGAAAACTCACGATAAGGAATTTAGGTTCGTTAGGTACCGGAAATCATTCGAACATCTTGAGCAACAATCACTGTTCGACGAAGAGCACGAGTTCGACGTCGTCCTACTACTCTCCACTCGTTCGTAAGATCACGACGAAATCAAGTTGCGTGGCCGTGAATGTGAAAATAGCCAAGCTCATGGATCACGCTTCCTCTTGGAAAATCGTACCGGAATCGTACCTGAATGAAAAACCACGAAATCCATCGACGCTTTACGGTGCCGTACATTTAGCCAGACTATTCGGTTAGTTTTATCGAATAGGTTTCCCCCCCCCCTTTCTTGCTATTGTTTTTCTCATTTAAAATTTACATTTCCAGTCAAACTTCCCACGTTATTACACGTTGCCAATCAACCGGAAAAAGAAAATCAACCCAGAGTACTTTCGGAAAGAAAATTAAAAGCTCTCATTCATCACCTTCAATTGTTTTTAACGTAAGTCGTCCATATAAGGCTACTACTACTCCTTTTTCGCCGACAAAAAAAAAAAAACCTAATTATTATTATTATTTTAAGGTATCTAGAAAGTAAACCTGAATGGTTCGGTGAAAAACATTACACGGACAACGTATACTTAAAAAGTGAAAAAATATCTTAAATATTACAATATCAAGAGTCTTGCCCTAATTGTCATGAGAGAGAGAGAGAGAGAGAGATAGATAGATAGAAAAGAAAAGAAAAAGAAAAGAGAAAAAAGATTTTTACTTAAAAAAAAAAATTGTACATAAAATGTGTATATATATACATAAAAAAAAAAAATAAATAATAATAATAATAATAATAGTAATAATAGTAATAATAATAATAATAATAAAAAAAGTAAAAAATTTGTAAGATATAATGAGTGCGAAAGCCTTTCATTTCTTTTTTTTTTTTTTTTTTTTTTTTTTTTTTTCCCTTTACCGAATTTAAAAAATGATGATGATGATGATGATGAATGATAATGATGATGGGCGTGCGTTAGAGTATATATGACCCGCGAAATACGAAAACGCACACGAGAAATAATATTTTTTACATATATATATATATATATTTATATATATATATACGCATAGTTTTCGACACGTGCACGTGTTTACGTACTTTAACACGTGTTTACATATATAAAAAATAAAGTAAAAAATATTTTTTCACGTGGGCGTTTTTTTTTTTTTTTTTTATGTATTTTCGTTCACACTGAAAAAAATATTTGTGACTTGTACGTTAAAAAAAAAAAAAAAAAAAAAAAAGAAAAGAAATTTATGGTTCGCATTTCGACATACACTCTTTAAGGTACCGACACAAAAAATATGGTTGACGAACGGCGTGATTTTATTACGGGTTATTAATAATAATAATACCACTTCCTCATTCAAAGTATGGCAAAAGAGAAAAGAAGAAAAGAAAGAGAAATGAGGGACCGAAAAAAAAAAAAAAAAAAAGAAAAAAAAAAAAAAAATTGGTCAAAATAATTAAATAATAACCTTCTTGACTAACCCCTGAGCGATTTGGCCGTCAACATGTGACCGAAATCTCCAGGCCATAGATTAAACAGTGCCAACAATCTTATTAATTTTAATGTGTATTTTAATAACGCACCGGAAACTCTTTGTTTTTTCGTACGTATTCTTTCCGAACCTAAAAAAATTTAAGGTATTTATCAAAATCATCACAAATTTTCCTTAATAATAATAATAATAATAATAATGATGATAAATTTCCACCTATGATCGATCCGCATATGGATATTTCTTGTACGGACGTACCGTAAATCGACATCTTTTCCGTCGAACTCCGCGTTCTGTAATACAAAAAAAAAAAAAAAAAATTACAATAATTCATTCCGTTTCCGTTTACATTTCCATTTCCGGTTATTTATTTATTTATTTATTTATTACCTTTCGCAAAACGTTTCGTTCAAATCGTTTGAAAAATTTATATTTTTTATATGAGACGAACACGTTCGTACGATTTCTTCTTTTTCTTTGTTATTAATATTATTATTATTATTATTATTATTTATATTACTAATAATATTATTATTATTATTATTAACATTAATATTATTGTTACTATTATTATTACTATTATTATTATTATTATTATTATTATTATTATTATTATTGTAATATTGATATGCGTCTTCGATGGATTTATTTTTCGGACTGAAATCCATGTTATCACATTCGTTATTCTGTCGCCTGGAAACAGCCGGATGATACACGGATTGCCTGTAATCAACGTCGTTCAATATCAAATCCTCTTCTCTATCTTTCCAAATGGCCGTTTGCATGGAAACTTTATCAACATCGCTTGTTTTGCTGTCTTTAATGCACGCGGAAAATCTTTCCAAACTCTCGCCGCCGTCCGTTGACATTTCCGAATCGTATTCGTTGGCATCATCATCATCATCATCTTGAAACACGCGAACGGTTTTAACATCGTCGAAATTATCCGGAGATTGTTTGAGTAATTCCGTTATGTTGATATCGTCGTCGCCGATTTCCGTTTTATCGATTTCTAATTTTAAAGATGGCGATAGCACGAGTTCTTCACCGGACACCGATAAAATGGCATCCCTCGATTTTTTCATCGCGACGTCTTTATTCGACAAACTCGTCGCGCTTTTACTCGTTATGTTTTGCAATATTGAAAACGATATTTCTTCGTCGCTTTTTAAATTTTCCGACGAGTACGTCACGAGGTAACTACTTTTACTTTGTCCCACGTTGTTGACGTTTTCCAAAGTTTTCTCGATGCACAATTGTACTTTTTCGAACGATAAACTTTTGTGATCTCCACCGGTGTGCTCTCCCGCATTTTTCAAATTCACGAGTGATAATTTTTCCTGCGAACGAATCGTTTTTTCCGTTTTGTTCAAACTCGGTTGAGACAATTGTTTGAGTATGACATTTTCCATTTCGCACAATTTCCTTTCTTGTTGTTCTTTGTGCGTCGTTGAATTTTCTTTCGCCGAACATTCCACGTTCGATATGCTCAATATTTTCGTTTTGGATTTTCTTTTCGTTGCTCCATCCAATCTCGGACTTGAATTTTGCACGCAACCTTCCACGTTCCGATGTTTGTTATTATAATTTGAATTTTTTTCATAATTTTTTATCGACGATGATGTTTGCGTTCTTTTATAACTTGTCGGCGTTGCCAACGTCGTCGTTGGTTTTTTTATCGGTGACGGAGACCTCGAAACGTTCGACTTTGTTTTTCTATAACAAAAAAATTTTTTTTTTTTTAAAAATTCCCTAACTTACAACTTACTGACGTTATTATTATTATCATCACTCGCTTACTTTTTATTTTCTTGTTCTAATGTTATCGTTTTGATTTTATTCGATTTTTCTTTCGGTGAATTTTTTTTCAACGGGGATCCCGATCTCGTGATTGGCGGTGACATTCTACCCGATAATAATAATAATAATTATAAATCCCAATAATAATAATAATAATTTAAATTAATTAAATTAATTACCCTATTATTTGATTTGATATTGGTATTAATCCACGATAATCTTTCGGCGATATAAATGATGTAAGCGATGATTTTTTTATTTTAACTCGTTCAGAATATTTAAATTCTGTTAATTTCTGTAAAGAGAGAGAGAGAGAGAGAGTGAGTGAGAAAATAATAATAATAATTAAACGAATTTGAATTTTTTCAACTCACCGACTTGTACAAATTTGTTTTTATTAAAACCGGACGTTTTTTAATTTCATCTGAAATCGGTCTATTTTTTTGTATAGGACTTTCTACTTTTTCCGTCTGCAAACAAAAACAAACAAAAACAAACAACAAACCATTAAAAAAAAGTTTTCAACTTGATAATAATATTCAATTTTTTTTACACACACACACACACTTATTATTATTATTATTATTATTAAATAAATTTAAAAAAATAAACAAACCGAAAATAATAATAATAATAATAATAATAAAAACAAATAATAAAATTAATAATAATAATAATAATAATTAATATTTTCCCGGCATGATTTTTTTTTTTTTTTTTTTTTTTTTTTTCGATTAGGTTTTATACACGGATGTAAAACAACAAATTGAAATTTCCGTTTGTTTTGTTTTTGTTTTTTTTTTTTCTTCCGTTTGTTGTTTGTCGCGGCGAAAATTTATATACAACAAGTGTTGTTTGTTATATCACTTACACAATCAAGAGTGTTGTTGTTATCGTCTTTTGTATCGAGTTCGATCGATGGTGGGCAGAGTATGGACGAAGTCGAAGTCACACTGTCACTTGTTTTTAATAAAACGGTTTTCGGTTTGTTGATATCAACTTCAGTCATTCTTTTTTTGTTTTCTCTTTTTTTTTTCTTTTTTTTTTTTTTTTCCTTTCTTTCTTTTTTTTTTTTTTTACACTTTTTTTCCCTCTCTCTCTCTCTCTTTCTCTCTATCTCTCTCTTACTAAACCCCTCACTTCCCTCACATTAAAATAAAAAAATTTTTTTCCCGTCTAATATTTAAATTATTCCCGCGATAAAACGATATAATGTGATTTGTAATAATAATAATAATAATGAATAATAATGAATAATAATAATAATGATTAATTTTGAATTCGATTTTTTTTTTTTTTTATCCGGGCCGAATCGTTTGAATATCGAAATATTAATACCTCAAATTTTTAATACATTTGTAACGTAAACACAAATAATAAACAATAAATTTTTTTTTTTTTGCTAAAAAATTTTTATCATGGCGTCAATAAAAAAAAAAAAAAAAAAAAAAAAATTTTTTTTTTTTGTTTTTTTTTTTTTTTCGAAAAAAATTCGAATTTTACGATTCGATCGAAATCTTAACTTTGTTATAAAGTTTTTTGTGTTTACGTTTTACTCATTATTATTATTATTATTATTATTATTATTATTATTATTATTATTATTATTATTATTATTATTATTATTATTATTATTTATTTATTTATTTATTTATTTATCGATAATGTAGAAACTCACCGTGGGAAAAATTCGATTGTGATTTTTCATCAATTTCCTCATCCCCTCCTCCTCCTCCGTATTTGACTGAGTAGAGTTTTTTAATTTTTTTCACGTTGAATTTCCATACGTTCAACCATTTGAACAATTCGGTTTCGTGCGAATTCGATTTCGTTTCCGCAAATTCCTTCATTTTTTTCAACCTCTTATTCATTTTACAAAACAATTCGTTTATTTCCTGTTGCATGTCGAATGAGGGTAAAAAAAATTCGTTGTCGTCGAATTGTCCGCGACAAATCGCATACGAACATTCGTCCGATTGTAATTTTTTCAATTTCAATGCGCTTTCCAATGAATTCAATTTAATGTTTCGGACGTAATCGTCGATTTCTGACGACGATTGCGATTGTTGAGGCAACAGCAAATTTTTCTGTCGTTTGACGAAATTTTTCAATATCGTCGAGTAAAGGGATAAACTCGATAGATTTATTTCGTTTAATTTCAACGCGAGATGTAATTCCGCGCACGGAGAAACGATGTTGACGGTGTAATCCTCCACGTTTTCCAAGTCGTTTTCCTCGCTGTCGTTTTTCTTCTCCGTTATTTTCATCAATGCTTCCAACAGGTTATTCCCTAAATCGTCGTTAAATATTTTATCCCTCAAATACAAATATTCGGATTTTATATTTTCGATTTCTCTTTCGTTTTTCACGTGGTGTATTTGAAAACATTTCAATTGATTCTACAAAATAATAATAATAATAATTAAATCACACGCAAATAAAATTTTTTTTCCTATCCTTTCTCACCTTATATTTAATTATGACGTCATCCCATTTAAGTCCCAAAACCGATGTTTTCTCAATGACTTCCTCTTCTAAATTAAATAATAAATCTTTGTTGTTCGGATGACCGTGAAGTGGAAGTAATTTATTTTCGAAGGATTTAAATAAATTATTATTTTTTTGAGTTTGACAATCGAGTACGTTCACGAATTCGTTTTCGAAATTATCGAGAAGAGAATTTGTTGAATTTTCATAATCTTTTAAACGTTTTTCGAAATATGAATTCGCCATGAATTTTATTTGTCCGACGAGCGGTAAAAAATCTATTTTTTTTTTTTTTTTAAAAATAAATTCAATGTCAATAAAAGATTTAAATGAAAAAATTTCCGTTGGAAAAATTAAAAAAAAACGAACCTACGATCGTTTTCATCCAAATTTTTTCGCATTGAATTTTATAATTACGAAATGTCGACAAAGTTTTTTTCGCAAAAGTTTCGTAATTCAATTCCAATAAATCTCTTCTTTTCAAATCGTTTTCTTTGTTTTTTTTATAAAAATTCTAAAATGAAAAAAAAAAAAAAAAAAATTATTATTACGTAAATTTTTCTTTGAAAAGTGGTGATGAGTATTATTATTATCATCATGTCGTTTTCTTACGCATGCTAATTTCTGAATGTAATCCAATGCGAACCAAATACAATTGTATACGATCGATATGAATGTTCCATCGTTTTCCGGCGGTTCTCTACTTTTAAACAATTTCCAATTGCAATTCGTGAAAGAAGAATCCATGACGCCGTGAGTTTCGTTCGTTCTATATGTCGACATTTGCGAAAGTGTTATTTTATTTCCCTGTTTCGAATATTCCATGCAAAAATTCGGATAATTGTATTCGTCGTCGTCGTCGTCGTCGTCGTCGTCTGCTTCGCCTTTACTCTCCACTTCAAAATTTTCACTTGCATCTGTTCGACAACAAAAACAAAACAAAAATTAATTAATTACAATTCGTTTACAATTCCGCCATTCGCGAAAATAAATAAAATCATCACCAACTGGAAGACGATGAAAATTTTATTTGATAAAATAAATTCGATATGTTTCCGTATAGTAATTCGAGTATGGAAGACCAAACGTATTGATTTTGATTTTCCAAAGGTTCGTCGTTTTCATTGTGAATTATGTATTTGAAAAAATTATTAACTTCGCATTCGAATAAATTAAAATCCGATTTAAATTCGTCTAAAATATTATTTACGTTTTCGTTGAGTTCCATAAATCCGGCTTTAATTTGGAAATGAAATAACGTTTCTTCGTATAAATCATTCAATCTAAACAAACAAGAATTTCTTAGTCTTTGTTTTCATATTGAAAAAAATTTTGGTAAAATATGCTAAAATTCTTACAAAGCAATGGTTTCCGTATAATTAGACGAATATTTTTTAATTAAATCCATTTCATATTTATCAACATCTTTTAAAAAATTTTTCAATTCCGTTGTGATATCTTTATCTAATATTTCTAATTTTCCAATTAATATTTTCGCTTCTTCCGCACTGTAATTTCCACCTTCGTAAAACATTCTAAAAAAAAATAAATAAAAGCATCATGAGAGAGAGAGAGAGAGAGAGAGAAAGAAAAATGGCGTCCTTACTTGATTCCTTTCATGTAATTAACATTTGAATTTTTAACATTTCCCGTTTTCAATTCGCAATCCGTTTTAAAATTTTCAAAAATAAATTTTAAACATTCTTCTACTTCCGTTTTCTTATTTCCCAACTGTAAAACGAGAAAACAATTTATGTTTATCTACTTCCGTTTTAAATAAATAAACAAACAGGAAGAGAAAAAATTTTAACCGTTATTATCATGGCGTTAATGGCGCCGTGACGACATTCTCTTATTGCATTCATTTCGACATATTTTAAATAATCAATATCTTCATTTAATTTATCATTTTCGTTAATGCATAAATATTCAAATTTATCTTTCATTTTTTTAAATTCGTTTTTAACGCCCTTAAAACAATAAATTTAAAATAAAATTCAAAAAAAAAATTCATTTGTTTTATCGTAAGGAGTTTTTTTTTTTTACCTCGTTATGACTTTCGAAAATCTCTTTGTGATATTTAATTTCGTTTTTCCTTTTATCAAGTATTTCAATTTTAATTCTATCGTATCTCTTATCGAGTATTTCCAATTTCAACGTCATTTTCTCCGATAGATTATCTATTTTCCTACAAATCCAATTTTCTATTCTCGGTTCTAAACAATCGTACGTTTTCAACGATAAATTTTCCATTGCCAACCACACTCTGGTGAGAAAAAAAAGAACTAATGACAAAAACAAAAATTCAAAAAAATATTAACGAACTTTTTCAAAATGATATTTACCCTTGTTTCCAAGTTTTCAAAGTTTTTATCTGTTGGCTACATTTGATGATTTCTTTAATTAAACAACGTTCTTCGAACGACACGTTCGGTTGATCACTATATCTATGAATATTTCTATTTTCCATTTCCATAGGATAAATAAAATGTATGAATTCTTGTAATTCCGCCGATAATAAATCGCATTCGATTTTCATCATTTCGTAATAATCTTCTATTATGTTAACTTGATTTACATAAACCTTTTCGTACCTGAAAAGATGTTAACATAAATAATTATGACGTAATCAATAATGATAATAACGATTGAAAAAAAAATTTGTTAAATTACTTTTCCTTTATCGAATTCAATATGGCGACGATGTTTTCATATTGTTTATCCATTTTTTCAATTACGTGTTCTTGTCGTAGAGCATCGAGTGCTATATTTAATTTTATTTCCGTTTCCTTTTATAAATAAATAAATTATTATTATTAATGTTACGTACACGTTCGTCGTGACACGTTATTATTAAAAAAAAAAAAAAAAACAAATTACGTCGAAAAAAATTCGATTGTTTTCATCGTCTTTTTCCAATGCTTTCAATATTAATTTTTTCGTTTCGTTTATTCTTTCGTCGTGTTGTTGCCATAAATTTCCGACATCTTTTAAAAATTTAACGACATCTTTTATCGTCCCTTTCATTTCGTAAAGATTTTTTTGCCAGAAAAACTATTAAAAAAAAAAAAAATCAATTTTTTCCGTTGCCAAAGGAAAAAAAAAAAAAATTTCCTTTGTTTCTACCTCCATGTATTCAATTTCTTTAGATTGTCCGTTTTGAGTTTCGAACGCGACGGGTTTTATAAAACGTTTTTTTATATCCAAAAATTCAAACGAATTTAATTTATCCATTATCCCATTCATTTCTCCATTGAAATCATCGTAAATCGAATTTAATGTTTTCTTATATAAATCCAATAAATCTTTACCGTAATTTTCTACGATAAATTATTATTATTATTATTCAATTAAACATTTAAACGATTTAAAATATATATAAAAAAAAAAAAAATGATACCTATGGCTTTGGATACTTTATTAACGTTATCCGTCCAATTATTTATATTGCAATAATTATATACGTCATCAGGTGATGGGATTAATGGTAATTCGTAACTTTTTAATTCGAATCTTATACATTTACTCGATACGGTACTGGAAATTTTCTTTTCCGTTTCTTTCCTAAAAAAAAAAATTTAAAAAAAAACGTTAAGATTTTCCATTTGTTTCGATGACGATGTAAAAGTGCATCAATCATCACATTTACTGCATTTTTAAAAGAGCTTTGTCAATCATGGTTTGAACCCATTTTTCTTGTGTGCATAAAAGTTTTTGAAAAAACGTTTTAAATGAATTTTCCGTGAGTAAAACGAGATTCAATTTAAGATCGGCATAACATCTTCTATTGTTTAACGATAATTGATTCATTTTCTAGTAAAAAAAACCGGAAACGGAAACGGAAGAAAAAAATTTTCTTTTAAACTGATCAATTTATTGTGACGTCATAGTTGTGTTAATCCCATTACCAGAATTTCATTTTCTACAAATGATTGTAATTCGTATGGTAAAAAAAAACCGTTACGACGTATTTCTTCGCATTTGACGTGTAATAATTTTTTATTTTTTTTACATCTTTCATCTTCGAATTTATTTAAATCGTTATGTAATTCTTTTATCATGTCGTGTAATAATAATTTATTATCCATTGATTTCTTTTCGATTTCTTTAAATGTTGCATTACTCGCTTTGACTATCTACAAAAAATAAGAAATTTTTATGGAAAATTCAAATCTTTAATTTTTTCTCAATTTCATCTCACCTCTGGACCATCCATTTTATTAATTATCTCATTTAATTCATCAACGTAATAATTTAAATGTCCTTTGAATTCCATCGATGATATTTTTATATTTTTCTCAACGTCTTCATTTATTTTGTTAAAATCCTTCATTAAATTTTTTATTAATTTATCGTGTCTTGCCTTTTTTTTTTCTTCTAATTTTTTTATTATTTCCGACGGTTTCGAACGCGGTTCTGAAAATACAAATCCTCTCGTTACGTAACATGATAATAATAATAATAATAATAGTAATAATAATAATAATAATAATAATAGTAATAATAATAATAATAATAATAATAATAGTAATAATAATAATAATAATAATAATAATAATTTTGTACGAACTTACCGAAATCCGAATCCAAACCGGATATTTCCCATATTTCAATATCTTTCTCTCTTGTTTTCTTATCAATGACGTTTTTTATTTTTCCTCCTGATAAATTATTATTATTATTATCATTATTATCTGTCTCATTCATTTCCGTCCTTTAATAATTACCTACAAAATAATAATAATAATTATGTTTATATATTTTATTAATTAAAATAGAAAGTGCGTGAAAATTCGTATTTTTTTTTTACCCTTAATATTTTTCCTCTTTATTTCCTCTTCGTTAAATTTATTATTATTATTATTTCCGTTATTATTATTATTATTATTATTAATAATAATAGTTTAAAATTTTTAAAAGGTTTTTTCGACAAAAAAAAAAAACTATTCGTATTACAAAAGTAAATAAAATTCTTTCGTGTCAATAATTTGGGGAGGCAGAAAACACGAATTCTTTTACAAAATGGCGTCGATCGAATTTTTCCAACAACAACGAAAATAATTATTTAAAAAAAAAAAAAACATTTCAATCCAAATAATAATAATAATAATTATTATTATTATTTAGAGGTTATATATATCGATCGTTTTTTATCCGCCAAAAAAAAAAAATTTTTTTTTTTTTTCTTGTACCACCGTCGTCGTGTAATTAATTTTTTTTTTTTTAAAAAAAATATAAACGTGTCATTAGATTTTCATTTTTAGTACGTTTTTTTCCCGCTTCATACACCGTTTGAATGAATGAATGAATTTATATAGAATAAATTTTAACGGATTTTAAATGATAATAATAATAATAATAAAATGAGCGTTAAATTTTATTAGCTCTAATATAAATAAATATATATATATAAATCTTTACGTTTTTATAAATTTTTTTTTTTCGTTTTTTTTTTTTCAAACAATTTAATAATTTGTTATTATTATTATTATTTTTATAAATAATACGAAATTTGAAATTCTAAAAAAAAAGAATCAACGAATCATTTTTTTTTTTTTTTTTTATAAATATTAAAATTCTAAAAATATTAAAATTTTTTTAAAAACCTTTTCTTTGCATTCAAGCGTATAATAATTTAAACCTTATTGCAATATATATATATAGTGCGATTATCGTTAATTATTATTATTATTATTTTTTGTTTTGGTGTCGTGAAAAGATTCGTTTGATTTTTTAGGGAAAATAAAAAATCGATCTATCGATAGATAGTGCAAAACGACTAATCGTGAAAAAATTAATTTATGTGAATCGATTCGGCGGATTCGATTAATCGAAAACGATTGCGGTGTATGCAACGATTTTTTTTATCATGGACGGTTTTTTACTATTGGGACGGTGGTACCGCAGGACATTTTCGTGGAAATTTTATATAATCTTCGAACGTAATAAATTGTGCAATCAATCAATTTAAATATGGCGGCGGTTAAGTCGTTGATAAAATGTTTCTCCAGATTGTTTTCTTTTTTTTTTTTACAAAAATAAACATCATGATGTCCTGTGGTGTGTGTCGGTGATGTTGTGTGTTAATTCAACGCAGTGACATGAATCGTATGACGGAAATTCCCAAATTCGAATTTTTCTTTTTGAATTTTTTCCAAAATCTTTTTTCCAAACGTCTTTCGTTTCTCTTATACGATGCGAGACCCTTTGGTAAAGATGTCGGTATATCGTCGTCGCTGTCTTTGTTGAAAAGATACCTGAATAAGGGTTTTGCTCCGTACGTGGCACTACCGCGATTCGTGAAATTTCCGTTAACTTTTTTACCCCTTAAGAATTTCAATCTGAAATATTAAAAAAAAAAATTTTTTTTTTATACATCTTTTGAAAAAATTTTGACGCGTCATTATATTTTCACACGTACAAACGATTGCATTTTCTTCCGCATTCGTGTCTGTTTTTCTTAAGACCTAATTTCCTAAAAATAGAAAGAGAAGGAAGTTTTTTTTCTGTTGTCTCTTCTTTGCTATATAAATCAATGTCCGAAGAATGTTCATCGCAATAATTAAATTCTTTGCTCTGATAATTTAACGAATTTTTTTCTCCGCACTGCGATGGAACCGTTAATACTTTTAATGAATTGTTTAGTTGCCGAGAAAATGGTTCACGTAAAACATTGTCCTATTTAAAATAATTACGTAATGAAATCCGCCGTACGGAAAATGAAAAATCAGCCATTGTACTAACTTATCTCGTTAGCTTCTTCCGACCTGTTCATTCGTCCCTTGAGCCTGTAACGATTTGGGGGGGCTACACGGAACCGATGATGATTCCGAATCATCTTCTTCCAAAAGCGGTTCGAGTCTTTGCCTCGGACGCATTCCATGACTTTTAACTCCTATCATGGGAAATGAAATAAATAAATCATCCATTAATTGCTCCGTGTCGTCATTAATATCGATTGATCCTCGAGGTGAATCTGAAAACTGAACTCGAAGAAAAGAAAAATTAATAAAAGTTTGATGACACACGCACACACACACACACACACACACATTTTTTAGTTTGGAACAAGAAGACTTACGGACATGTTGTAGATTTCGTTAGATGGTTCATCTTCGAAATCTCCACCACTGGTTGGAGTTCCCCAGACTTCTTCTCCCGATGTCGCACCCGAAGTTTCTCCCTCATCTTCTCCTTTACCCGATGAGGAAGTGTTTGTTCCCATATCGGGAGACTCTAAATTATTCTCTCCGGATGGTTTTAAATACCTCAAGAACAAATTTTCTTTTCTAAAACTCGAAGCCGGATGAAGGTGCCAAACAAAAACAACATTTCTTCTAATCTACTGATGATGAACTATTTTTTTTTTTTTTTTTTTTTTTTTTTTTTTTTTTTTTATTTTATTTAATGTCTTTTGATTATTTTATTCGGTTTACCTTTCGAGAAAGGTTGTCTTACGAATGTTGACTGAATTATCGGGAGTACTCATTCGTTCAAAAAACGCCATCTTTGCAGCTACGTATGAACTTGCTCTAAAAGTCCAACCTCTAATAGAATCTCCTACTTCAGGCGCGTGAGTTTTAACTACAATTTTATCATCATCATCCTCACCGTCGGCGTCGGCATCCCCGCCATCATCATCATTATTTTCTTCTTCGTTTTTCCTTTTGTCCTTTTTCAAATCAGAAGAATCCTTTTCCGAAAAATCTGTAATAAAAAAAAAAATTTTAATTGCGGATACGATGATAAATGATCAAAAAAATTTTTTTAAAAAACTCACCTTCTTGATCTAAATCTTCAGAACTGAACCTTTCTAAACTGTTTAACGTTCCGAACCTTCGAAGTCCAGTTGGCGAAGACAATGTTTTGTATGGAGGTTCATCTTCTAGTGTTTCATCATCCTCCGTGTCAACTAAATGTGCAAATTGTGCTTGGGGTTTCTAACAAAACGGTGTAAGTGTGAAAAAAAAATTTTTAAATATTTAAAATGATGAAATTTTAAGTGGATTGACGACATTTTACCTTTATACAAGTTACCAAAGAAGAAGAAAACAATGGATCGGAAGAATTCGAAGAAGAAGTGGCATTAGCGGTGGTGGTGGTGAACTTGTGGCTCCGACTACCATCACTATCATCGAGTATGTAATTGTTGTTTCCGTTACATGATTTATCATCGACTTTATGCTTTTTATCCGGTGTCGGGGGTAGAATCGATATCGATGGGGGTCCACTCGGTTCGAATGGATCATTTGAATTTTTTATGGTTGGTAATATTCCGCATATTCCAAGCATCATCAACGACCCCCACGTATCTCCACAATTTTCCGCATCAATATTTTTCCTTATATTATTACCATGTCTGGAATTTAAACACGTTTCATGACATTCCCTGCAAACAGATACCATTTTCTCAACATTGTTGATATTGCTCGAAGTTTGATATTCCTTTGACACGTTTTGAAATTGATGACTGACATCCTTGCTCGTCGATATTTCATTATCATCCATGTTTAGCCAATCAATTTCACCTGACCTGATGATATTATCATAACAATGTACATCGAAAAACTACGTGGATTTTTTTTTTTATTTATTAAATTCCATAACTTACTCTTCTTCTTCTTCCACTTCTTCTCCCTTCGTGAGCTTTTCCGTTTCTAAATTTTTATTTATCGTTTTGTAATTGGATTCGTTTTCTTTTTCCATGGAAAATATTGTTGTTTTTTTATCACAGAAGTTATCTTCTCCTCCTCCCGTTTTCTTTATCACATCCTCTTCGCAATTGACATAAATTTCTTTCCCTTCGTTATTATTATTATTATTGCTATATTTATTATATTTCGATCCGGTTGGGACATTATTATTCGTCACGAATCCATCCTCCCTGTTATTCTTTGACGTCATGACGTTTGTTTTTTGCATTACGTATGCTCCTCCTCCATTTCCTCCTCCTACTCCTCCTCCGCCATTATAACATCCAACCTTGAAAATATCAAAATATTTTATTATTTAAAAGTTTTTTACTTATCCTAACGTCTATCATAACTAAAAAAATAGTATTTTACTAAAAAAAAACTATTATTAAATACAATTTTGATTAGTAATAATGATAATAATAATAATAATAATAATAATAATAATAATAATAATAATAATAATAATAATAATAATAATAATAAAAGCCAACGGCCATAGCGTGCTGGTCACACCGGTTCCCGTACGATCACCGAAGTTAAGCAGCATCGGGCGTGGTGCAAACTTGGATGGGTGACCGTCTGAGAACGCCACGTGCTGTTGGCTTAAAAAGAGCAAAAAAAAATGAGAACAAGACAAAGTAAGAACCAAAAAACAAATCTTGTTCTACTGTCGACCTGAGGCAGCTCGACGAGAACGTGAATTTCACTGCTTCTGACCCTGGCCACTCCAAAGATGTTAGTCACCGGAGCCCAGTTCAGGAGACAAATCGTTCCCATCGAAAAAGACGGACTCAGGAAGACCTTCAAGAATTGATGTGGTGCTATCTTATAATAAGTGGCACCACCGAAATTCGAGTATTTGTCCCTAAGGAATCGGGTAGAAACCTCGGATAAATACTTAAAAACTCCGACAAGTAGCCTTGTCGTGTTTAATGGTGGATAATAATAATAATAATAATTTAATGTTATTCTTTCTATCCCTTTTTTTTTAAATTAAATTAAATTAAATTAAATTCTAGAATTTTCTCTTTTAGTTAGAACAAAATAAAATAAATAAAATTATTTTTTTTTTACTATTAACACACTAAACTAACTTTAGTAATAATAATAATAATAATAATAATAATAATAAACATTAAATTAATTTGAATTAAATTAATTTAAATTTGTTCGTGCCTATTATTTTTTTAAATTATCGTCGTTACGATTAGTCTAAAATGATTTTTCTATAAAATGCCGCTGGAGCAGCAATAGAATTTGGTTTTTTTTTTTTAGTTAACTAAAGACTAAAACTAAAACGAAATATAAAAAATAATAACGATTAGTATAAACAATTCAAACGGTTGGCCATGTTGTATACCGTAACTTACTATCTAGCACTTTGAACGTATATATTATCCAAATCTGGTATGAATAAAAAAAAATTTTATGAGAAAAAAAATCAGGTTTGTGTGAATAATAATAATAAGGTTTAAATATATGTATAGGACAATGATTTTTTTTTTTGTTAACGAGAAAAACATTTCACAATTTTTTTTTTTTTTTTACGATTAATAATAATAATAATAATATCGTTCGTTAATATGCCAAAATATTTCTTTTTCCTAATATAATATAAGCCAAAATATTGTTTGTTTTATCATCATCATCATCTCTTAATGGAGAAAAACATACCGATAATAATAATAATAATAATGCACGTGCAAAATTTATTATTATTTTAATATTTGAAATGTTTTTCTCTTTATTTAATTAGTATATATAATCATTTTTTTAATTAATTAATTAATTTATTTATTTATTCGTTTCCAAAAAAAAATAAAAGCTTTTTTTTTAATTTTACATTTATAATAATAATAATAATAATTTACGATCATATTATAAAATATAATTGAATAAATTTTTAATATAAATAAATAAATATATATATATATATATTTTTTTTTTTTCTCTCTCTTCTTTTTAAATATTAATAATAATAATAATAATAATAAATTAAATTTTTTTGTACAATTTATATATATATATACATTTAAAACAAAATCAACGTAAAAACATTCGAATAATAATAATGATAACAATAATAATAATAAAAACAATATTTTGACATCGTATTTAAATTTTATTATTTTTTGTTCGTATCCGTTTCCGGTTTGATACGCACTTTAAAAAAAAAAAAAAAAAACGACATTTAGTTTTTATCTCTTTCTAATTTATGAAATATAAAAAAATTGATTAATTAAATTAAATATCGAAAAATATTATATAGAAATATTTTGGCCTAAATTAATCGTAATTAACGACATGAAAAAAATTGTGAAAATGTCTTAATAATAATAATAATAATAGATTGTTGTCAAGTTAGTGAAAAAATATTTTTTTTTTTAAATTTTTTGATTTAATCATAAGCGTCTGACGTGGTAGCCGAATCAGGAGTTAAAAGAGGTTCATAATAAAATTTTTCGGGTGGAGGAGATGATGTTTCATCCTCATCATCTCTTGGTACGTGATTAGGAGAACATGAATATACCTGAGGTAAACGCATCTGTCGTTTAAGTGAAATCGTATCGAGTGTTGCTGCCGAAATTGTTGTCGGTGGATCTGGAGATTCTAAGGGGCTCGTAGATGGTGTGAGTCCTCTCGTCGTATTCAGATGAATGCTAAAACCGTAAATAATTTTTATTAGGTTATACGACGGGATTCTTTTTTTGACAGCAAAAAGAACTCACATTTGTCTTTGAATTAAATTTTGCCAAACGGCTTTTAATTCGGGAGTGGGTGCTCTCAATGCGATACTTTTAAATTTTGTATTTTTTTTTGGAGTTCTTGATAAAACTATATCTGGACCACATGTTGTTGAATTTGCCGGACTATCCATTCCAGGACTGTTATTGCTTAACAATAATCGAAATTCGTTAGCTGTGTGACGTAACAAATAAACAATTTTATTATTATTATTATTTTTTAAATTAACATTCGACGTTTTATCGTGTAATATTTTAACCTTTTTTCCTAATGTTGAAAAAAGCTTGAGACACAGCCAATAGTGAAAGAGGTTCTTCGGTAATAAATAAAACTCTATCTCTGCTAACTTTAGCAAATATCATCATGTCGGTGAATAGAAGGGCCCAAAATGGATGAACGGTTCTACCTTCTATTTTACTCAAATCTCCACCGAATATCCACTGCCTTCCCGGTATACTTAAAACGAACGGCTACGATTAAATAATAATGATGAATTTAACCTTTTACGATTTCGAATAAGTAAGCGAATAATAATAATAATGATTTTACTTTGCAACGAGTAAAAACGAGTCTGCTTTCCAAATCTTGTACGGATAAAAGGGGTCTGCCTTCGACTTCGGGTTCCATTAATCCACCCGTGACTTCTCTGAAACTCGATTGCATATCATTGACGACTCTCGAAAGTGCTGCGTGATCCGTATCCGGTGATTTAGTGAGATTAAATATAATTTGTAAATGTTTGAGTAATTCGCGATAATGTTCGAGAGGCTTGTGTAAAAATGTCGTTAAATCCGGTCTCTTTCTCGGCACGGGTGGCTCCGCGCAAAATCTATTAAATTCGTTATTTTTAAATTTTTCAGCTAATACGCAATCGGCTCTTTTAATTCCCGAACAATATCTTCTATAAGCCGGTTTGAGAACTTGTATCTAAAAAACATAATACATTTCTTAGGGTTGTTAACGTCGGGGGAGGGGAGGGGAGAGGGGAGAGGGGAAATGAAAAACAATTGGAATTTTTTTTCTTTTACCCTTTTAAAATATAATCTTCCTATTGAATCACCCGTAAGGTCTACTTCTTCGTTAATTGCTTGTTCTAATGTATCTTCCGTAAGGCGTAATATCTACACATAATAAACATGGTTAAATAAAAAAAATTTTTGGTTTCCCCCCCCCCCCGGATATTTCGTACGAATAAACCCCCCTAATCGTACGTAAAAAAAAAAAAAAAAAAAATTTAATGATAATAATAATAATTAATGGAAAATAACCTCTTCGATGTTTTGAAATAATATTTGATGTTGTTTTTGATTAATAAATTCCTTTCGTTCTAAAAGCGGAACGGAAAACCTGTTGATACCAAATTGTAAATTTGTTGCATAATTTTGTTCTTTGCTAAGAAGTTGATAAATGGCTTTTTTTCGTGATTCCTCCGGGTTTAATGTGGATACCTACGAATTAAAATAAGTTAAACAACTTTTGTTGACTTTATATTCCTCATTATCACGTGTAATGAGCACAACGCCCACGTTTCTGATAATTTCTATCGATTTCTACAAATTTATTATTATTATTATTATTTGCAACTATATGCGTGTAACAATGTTATTGATTTCATGAGGATGATGATGATGATGATGATGATAATGAATTTTTTATGAATGAATAAATAAAATAAAATAAAAAAAAAAAACGATATAAAATAAATAAATAAATAAATAAAAAAAAATTATATTTACAAAAAAAAAGCGAAAGAAGAAGAGAAAAAAAAAACAAAAAAAAAAAAAAACGAAAAAAAATAATAATAATAATTTTTATAGTAAAATTATATATATATATAAAAAAACAAAATTTTAAATATTTCATTTTTTTTGAAAAATTATGCCAATTATTATTATTATCATTATAAATCTGGCAATCGATATTAAACGCATTTAAAAAAAATGGAAATCAGAAATTAGAGAAATGATTTTAATCCCTAATACTGGCCACGTGACACGTGAAAATTTCAAAAAAAAATTGTTTTTAAATTGAAAATGAATTTGTGAATGTTTTGTTGAATATATATATATATGTCAGTCTTATATAAAATAATGAAATGAAAAAATAAATAATACATAAAATAAAATTAAAAAAAAAATAAAAAAAGAGGTAGAAGAATGTGAGTAATGTGAGGTGGTTTCGGTGTGATTCGTCGCCATTTAATGATAAAAAATAAAAAATAAAAATTTTAGACGATAACTCCGGCACCGACCTCATTGGTAAAAGCTACTTGAGGTAGATGAAGCCTCCTTTTGGCAAAATCAAAAGATGTAGATGTCGTCGTCGTCGTCGTGGTGTTTGTAGTTCCCGTAGGAGCGTAACATGTTCCTGACCATCTCGATGAATTGTTATATTCAACCGATGTTTGCATAGTTGAAGGTAAGGCAATTGGAGGTTCGACTAAACAACCGTTCGCGTTTGATTTTCTATATATTTCGAGCGTTAATTCGTTACCGCAAGATCTAAAAAAATAATTAATCAATCAATCAATCAATCAATCGATCGATCGATCGATTTCGTTTAAAATATTTTGATTCGTTAAATACTCACTTGATAATATCTAATATTTCTTCTTCGGACATAGTAACCACATTAAAACGATCAACAAATATAACAAAATCACCAGGACGAATTCCCGCTCTGTCTGCCGGTTGACCGGCTTCTACTCTTTCTACCCTGAATAACAAAATAATAATAATAATAATAATAATAATAATAATAATGATCGAATCATTTAAAATGAAATTTTAAAAAAAAAAAAAATAGAAAGGAAATGAAAATTATTTTCACCTCGGAGGTTGCACCCATGCTATCGAAAATCCGAAGCCACCACCTGGTTGTTTGGTCAGCTGCTTTGTTGTAGTGAAAGGAGTTCTTCCACCTTTTGCAATGGCTTCCGGTAGAGGAACTCTTCCTCCTTCTCCGTCGATAGGTTCCAATTCCAAATGTCGTAGAAAACTACTGTCATCGTTTAATTTTTTTTTTATTGAATATTTATTATTGTGTTTATCGGGGGGTGAAGAACGTGGTTCGTCGTCAAATGGAATTAATTCATCAAATTTTTGATTTCCGGATCTGTGAGCCATCATGGAAGGGGATCCGGTCGTTGAAAGTCCACAATTGGACTGAATCGGTCGTTGTTGATTTGATGATGACTTTGAACCGCCGCTTTGAGCGACGAGACGAAACCACCCTGATATTTCCTGAAATAATTAATAAATAAATAAATGAATAAAAATGTGCGACGTTGCCAAAATTATTTATTTAATAATTTTTATTACTCTCAAAACATTTAAAAAAAAAAAAAAAATCGATTCGATTTAAATGATGAGCATGATACTTTATCACGCATATTAAAAAAAAACGTTTATTATTATTATTATTATTATTATTATTTTTGTACTCACTTTCTTAATTGCATTTTTGACTGCCAAAGATACACATCCCAAAAATTCACTCTTTCTGTAAAAATAAAAATAGTAAAAACAAAAAACAAAAAGTGAAATGTTGCATTCAGTAAAATAATAATAATAATTTTTTTTCTCCTGTGACGAAATCAAGCTGGAATTGAATGGAAAAAAAATTATCATTATCATTTTGTGTGACGTAATCAAAACGTTTCGTTTCCTTATTATTATTATTATTTTCAATACAATCCCTTTGCATGTGTCTATACAATCAATAATAATAATATTCCGAATTGAAAATTGAAATCTATACGATATCTAAATTAAAATGAACCTATGAAATTGTTTTTTTTTTTTTTAATTCCATAATTATTTCATTATTCGGGGGGGTATGAACCCCCCCCAGTTTAAATCGATTATTAATCCGCTATGTTATGAAACCTTATTTACATCCATAATATTCTATTTTTTCTCATTTGACTGGAATTTTATCTGAACGCGTATACGTGTAAGAGAGAAAGAAATAGAAAATGAGAGAGAGAGAGAGAGAGAGAGAGAGAAAGAGAGAGAGAGAAACGACTTAATGCGTATATAAACCGTTTAAAATTTATATGAATTGGGAGAGAGATAAAAAAAAAGACGTGAGCGAGAATTTTTTTCCTTTTTTTTTCATTTTCGCAAACCCCCCTCCCCCCCCAAAAAAAAAAGGTTTTGAAATATTTTTTTTAATATAAACAATTTTACGTATAAATTTGTGTACAATGACGAGATAACGCATTAAATCAAAATAAATAAATAAATAATAATGATGATGATAATTTAAAATGGTACGATTTTTTTTTTTTTAAAATAATATTATGAATAAACAACAACATACCTTGAAATACCTGATTTAGATAAAGACAACAACAAAATTATACAAATAATAAAAAGAAAGAAAAGAAAAATAACGCGATAAGATAGATGGATAATGTTGAACAAACGAAATCCTGTTACGAGATGCTGTTTTTCTAGAAAAGATTCCCAGCCAAAGAGCCCCCCGGTATGTCGGTGTTGCGCGCGCCATCGATCGGAGGTTTCTCACACCTCTCTATTCATTCCCTTTTTTTTTTTTTTTCCCGCCCTTTCTCACGTGTGACGAGAAAGAACCATCTACGAAACCGCCATACTACGACGACGACGACGACCCCCACCACCACCCCCAAAACTATTATTTTTTACTTCTTTTTCTTTCTTTAATTCGGATAAAATGGGTCAAGACAAACAATTCGGGATTAGAAGAAAATAATAATAATAATAATAATAATAATAATCACGACGACGATTATAATAACGGTTAAACGAACGATTTGAAATTTTTTTCTCGACTTAAACGTAAACGTATAAAACAATTTACAAAACGATTCATTAAATAAATATATTTAACAATCGAAAAATAATTATCGAAATAAGTTAATGGTTCGATTGTAACGATTTCGATTTCGATTTCGAGAATGAGCAAACAAAAAAAGGAAAAAAAAAAAACGTTACGACGTAATATTTGCAAATCACTCACAATCGATAACTCGTCAACGTTTTCGATTGTTTCCCCTTTCCCCACCTCTTCCCCTCCTCCTCCTCCTCGTCGACCATTTTTATCCACCGCCTTATTCACGATTTAAGATTTCGTAAAATTTCGAAAAATGATAATGATAATAATAATAATGAGAATAATAATAATTTAATTTTTATTATTTACCTGTTATCGCGATCCCTATGCCAAACGGAAACCAATATGTGTTTGTTTAAATCTTCCGAATGAAAATTAAACGAAAATGTTTCATTGAAATTCGGACAGCTGGATTCACGATGTACCGGAGTTCTAAAAAATGTCCTTTCCGCGGACGGAACGAGAGCAACCTAAATAAAAATCATTTTCATAAATTTATTAATTTGAATCGTGTAAATAACGATATACACATGCATCCATCATGCTCTCGCGTTTGAAATGAACGACGGTTAATTTTTTCGAACCTTTCGAACGCTGCCTCTGGAATTTCTTTCATGTACGTGCATTTTTACATCAGCAATTTTTAAAACGTAAGTAAAATAATAATAATAATAATGGGTAATTTACATAATTTCATTTCAAGTATGCGATAAGTAAATAATAATAATAATAATTATAATTATTAGAAACGTACCAATTTTTTTACTTAACGTTTTTTTTCTTTCAAGCATTCCATTCGACAAACGTTTTTTTTGAAAATTAAACCGTTAATTCATTTCATATTGCTTTCCCTTTTTTTTTAACTTATTCACACACCTATAAACCTGATTTTTTTCCTCACTTTTTTTTTACGATTCGATAAAAAATACGTAAATCCCGAATTATTTATTAGAATATTAACAAAGTTTTTCTTTTTTTTTTCTCTCTCTCACAAAAAAACGTTCTAATTCTAATAATTTTCTGATTCTGTTTTATTCGTAAAACTGCGGAATGAAACTGTGCATAAAACAACAAAACCCGCGAACGATACGTAATCGTTTATAAAAAAAATCTTTTACTCCATGTAAATTTTAACCGCAACGTAATCTTCATACGTTACGACGAGTTTTAAAAAACGAGACTTTAAGTTGACAATTTTTCAAAGGGGAAAACGTTAGGGATCAACATTTTTCATTCACTCTAATCCTTTCGATCGATATTTTGCTGACGTCACAAAGATGGACCCGCGAGGAGGCCATGAAAAAATTAATTTTGAGCCGCTTAACTTTTTACATTAATGTAATTTTAACTGTTTTTGAACAATTTTTTTTTTTTAAACTAAGAGAAAAGCGTACGAATTTAACCCCCCCCCCAAAAAAAAAAAACTAACGATAATGATAATTTTAAACGTTAAAATCCTTTTTTGGCAATCATTTTCATTCTAAAATTATTTTTTTAAAAAAATTTTTCGATATCGAAACGATATTCGGCTAGTAAAAAACAACATTCCTGAATTATTTAAATAAAGAAAAAAAAAACTCAACGTGTTTAACGAACAACCTTTAGTCACGAATTTGTAAAACATTGCATGTACGATAAATTATTACTAAGCAGACGAAAAAATTTCCTTTTCGATTTTGTGTTGTGTAAAAACAACCGACACGAAAAATTTTTATATTAATATTCTACCCCTTACCTTAATATAAATAATAATAATAATAAACTGACCTTAACATATGGATTATATCCGGTTCCTGTTGATCTGCAAAACCCAATACCACGTCCAACTAAAAAAAAAAAAAAAACCAATACATAAATAATAAATTTTATAACAAGATAATTAAAATTTTAATGTAAGAAGACATACACATACACACAATGAAATCAAAAACCAATATGTCTGCCTGTTTATTGTTTAAATGTTGAAACATTTTACCTTTTTCGTATCCTCAAGTTAAAAATTTGAATTTTATGTATGTATGTAAGTGTGAGTTTAATAAGTTTTTTTTTTTTTTAATAGAAAATATAAAAATAAAATAACATTTACCATAAACGGTAATAACTTCTGTGGTAACATTAACCGACAGCTCCAGATCTCCAGCTCCTGAAATGACAATATTTATTATTATTATTATTATTATTATTAATATTATTATAAAAACAAATTTATTTATTTATTTTATTACCGTCTTTACTGTCTCTCAATCGAGGACACGATAGCGAAAGAGGAAATTTTGTAGATTTATGTCGCTGACAGGTATTGTTACCAGGTGATACAAATCGCAGACACCTTCTAGATCTTGATCTTTTTTCTACCAATGCCAGAGGACTTGGTAAGGCGAAATCTTTAACAACAAATTCAAACCATTACAAACAATTAATCGAAGAGTACATAAATAATAATAATAATAATAATTTTCTACCGTAATCAAAATTAGATGGTGTATCGTCTTCTTTATACCGGGGAGATTCGTGGGATAATTTTGGAGTTTTTATTTGCGGTATTATTTCTTCGCTCCAAGCATCTTTCGATTCGAATATGTCACGTTGAAATCTTTTTCTCAACGAGGAACATATCGACGATGGAGAACATTTTTCGACGATTAAAGATGTCGATAATGATTCGCATCGGAGTCCGATGTTGTTGTGATTCGAAAGAGCTTGTTCGGTTAAACGTCCCATCCCGTGATCTGCATTATGAATCGGAGATAAATTAAGGGGATGAATACCTTCCAAACCCAAACTACTTGTACCTGAGTCTTCTGAAATAACCGGACTGGGAATACCTGATGATGACAAAAAATGAAAAAATTGATTAATTTTCTAATGTTTTTAAACATCATCCAATTTGTTATTAACAAATACCTGAAGGTAATGTCAAACCCATAAGTGTTGGTTTCGTATGAGTCTTTGGCTTATTTTTATCACAGCAAGATCCATATCCCGTATCGCAAGCACCATCGCAAGCACACTTTCTCATTTTCTTTTTAACGTATTTTTCCATTTTTATCATATCCCATTCTCTTTTCCTTCTTTCGTTCGACACTTCATCACCATCATCACCATCATTCCTTTTATTCGTTTTCCTCGGATTTTCCCCAAAACAATTTATTTCCGTTTCGTTTTTTTTTATCTTATTTACATTATTCAAATTATTATTTAATCTTAACCATTCTAATCTCTGAGACAAAGATGATACCAAAGTGTTTTCCAATTTAGAATTTTCCTTTTTCAAATTATTTACAAAATCGTATTTGTTTGAAATTTGTTCCAGTATGCTTTTCTCTTCCATAGATCCCTCCAAAGTGGGGGATTGTTCGTCACACGATATCGTTATACCGTTGTTGGAACATTTCTCGGATTGGTTCAGAGTATTGTAGAGAGAATTTTCAATGAGCATGGGTGTTTTTTCTTGTTTTGCCTGAGTTAAAGTTTTTGTTAGACGTCGACGCAAAGCCACAAGACTTTGTGTGGCCGTAAAAGGTCCTGGAGAATATTCTATTTGCATTGCTAAAAGAGATTTCAATGTTGAATTTGGTTTTCTAGTGTCGACAACATCCGTTACATCCGACGGTGAACTACTATTACGATTTGAAATTTCATCATTGGTATTGACTATCAGGGGTGAGGTATTATTATACGAAGTCAAAATTTTATTATTATCGGATAAATTATAAGAATTTAAATAATCCTGAGTATTTGTGGGAGCGCTTTTAGAGTAATCATTATAAGGCCTTTTCCTTATAAAATTCAACGGATGACTCTGTCGTCTTTTTACATAATCCTGACGTTTGGGAGTCACCATATACGGATCTGGAGAATTACTAACGTCACGAAGCACCTTTGGGTTCTGCCTGAAGCTGTCCCGTATCCGTAAGGACCCATTGTCTGGAGTCTAGAAAAAAAATTTGCTTTTACTATAAGTAAATAATAATAATAATAATAATAATAATAAAATGAAAACTATTTATTTATTACGCAGCATGGTTGATTTTCTTTATCTTGCTTGGCTCTTTTTATTGATCGAACAGCTGCTTTTTTAACATGGCCGCGATTATTTCTTCTCCTTGCGACGTAAAGTCTATCCGTTGACGTTTTAAAACAAGATGATTCTTTCGTTTCTAATCTGGTGACTGAAGAATAACAGGCCGATGTTTGTTGCCCGGGAGTGGGGTGTCTTTGGCCAACAGCCCACTTCAACATAGGTCTCACCTAAAAAAATTTTTTTTTGTAACGTTAAACCATTTAATATTATTTAATTTAACCGACATGAAATCAATTTACATTCAATATTTTTTATCGCCAACGACAGGAAATGAACAATTTTTTTTTATTACAGATTTTCGTTTTGGGGTGAAAATTGCATTCTCTCTCTCCCTTATTTATTTTTAATTTGACTTTAATGCAAATGAAACATTCGCCTGACACCGATTTGTACCACAATTTACCAAACTCACAACCAAAAAAAAAATTTTTCTTTTTTTTTTAAAAAGAGTTTCCTTGAAATGAAAAAAGTGAAACGATTATCAAAATTTATTTTTTCTCTCTAGCAAAATTTTGCCAATAAAACTTTTTTTTTTGCGAAACGATATAAAAAAAAAAAATTTTTTTTTTTTTTTTACGAAGGGCAATAATTCTTTAGGGAAGTGTACAGAATGAATTATTATTATTATTATTTATCCGACCGGATCGATTTTTAACTAAGCTAAGTGAAGGAATTTAATGGAATTTAAAATTCTATACGTACCCCAAAAAAATTTAAGGGAAGAAACAACCGACGTCTAGGCGTAAATGAAAAAATCACAAACATGTCAAAAAAAAAAAAAAAAAACCCCGTAAAAGGTAAGAAAGGTTTTAAGGGGGATGTTTTTTTTTTTTTTTTCCTTTCAAAAAGGGGATGATAGTCTACATTCATTAAAATCAGTTCGAATTTTATAAGGAAAGAATTTTTTTTTTTTAAGATGATGAAATCAAATAAAAACTGTTCGTTACATGTAAAAAAAAAAAAAATTTAAAAACCTTAAACCTTAAACCTAAATTTAATTTACTACGAAAAAATTTTATGTAAAAAAAAAAAAAAAAAAAAAGGGGGTCAGATTTAATAATTTCAATTGAAAACAAAAAAAAAAAAAAAAAAAAATGTCGATTTTTGATACGAGACAAAAACAGGGAAGAAGAAGAAGAAGAATCCCTTGAATTATTCTCACACGGGGCCGTTTCTTTTTTTTTTTTTGGGGCCCTTTGTTTGTCTGCCGAAAAACAAAAAAAAAAAAAAAAAAAAAAAAAACTAGTTTTTCTGACACTTGACCCAGCTCAAAACACAAAATTTACCTGGTTTCAAACTTTAAGATAACGGACGAATTTTTTTTTTTGGGGTTCGGGAACTTGTTTCCGATTCGGGAACGTCCCGAAAAACTAAAAATCTCCCACCGTCTAACAAAATATTTAACTTATAATAATAAATTTCTTAACGTCTATATTGTTTGTGTGACCGAATAAGTGACCAGGTGGCGACAAAAAGAAATAGATCAAATAAAATACAAAAGAATAAAGTCGTTGTCGTCGTCGTCGTCGTCGTCGCCGTCGTCTTTGGTTCCTTTTTGCAAAAAACCGTTACAGGCACACGCACACACGCACTAAATTAAAATTATTTACGATTATTTACCTTCGTACCTTAATATCATACAGAAGACTTTGATGTGAAATATACTCTCTAACACAGCATCTCTTTCTAATCCACCTTCTGATTTAAATATATTTTTCTTTTTCCATCAATTTCATCGACGAATACCTGAAAATATAATAATAATAATAATAATACTTGTCTTTTTTCTTTGTCTCTCTGAAATAAAAATAATCATTAAAATCATTAAAATTTTGACAAAATAAAAATTTTTCCCTTATTTTTTTTTTTTTTCCTATGTTAAATGTTCAATGGGAAGAATAAATAAAATAATGGCGTAGGAAAAGAAGAAAAAAAAAAAAAACGTGAAAAATAATAAAATGTTTTTAAAATCACGAAAAATTTATGTCGTCACGGTTCCCGTAATCGATTAAATTATTTTTTTTTTTTTTGTTTTGTTTTCGTCGTTGAAAAAGAAAATATTATTTTTAAACGTTTTTTCAAAAAAAAAAAAAAATCCGTTAAAATTTTACACAATATGGCCGACCTTTTCCGTATAATTTCAAACACTTGAGAATTAAATTAACAATTTGTAAAAAAATTAATTACTTGCGTTTGTCGCGGCATAAATTTATCAAAAAATTTAATTAATTAATTGATTGATTTATAAAGAGACCCTTTTCTAGCGGAGAATAACGAGTACTTTTATCGCGAAAAATAATTTTCCGCGATGAAAACTTTTAGTTTTTAATTATTACGTCACTCATTTTATTTATTTATTTTTTATTTTTAAATAAAAATAATGTTTAATTTCGTGCGTGTGTGCGTGTTACACCGGAAATAACAACAGTAAACCGGAAAATAAAATAAAAATTAACGTTTTTTTTTTTTTTTTTTTTTAATGGCCGACGTTTAAATGTTTCCTTTAAAAAAAAATTATTTTTAAACGGCACATCCGACATGTTTAAAACAATAAACAATATTTTCTTGGGGTAAAAAAAAAAAAAAAAAAAAACATAAAATAATTAAATTAATTTTTTTTTAAATAATAATAATGATTTTCGATAGAAAATACATAACGGAAAAGAACGAAACGTTAGTTAAAAAAAAAAAAAAACCGTTAAATAAAAAATTGAATAAACGACTGATAAAAGAAGAAGAAAAAGGATCTTAAGGAATGAAAATGACAACAACGACCCTTAAATTTATCTAAAAAGGAAAAAAAAAAAAAAAAAAAAAGGTTTCTTTAAAAGGCATTCAGATAGGGGTTTACTTATGACATCGAACCTTTGTTTAATAAAGTTTATGTAAATTAATTAACTAAGTTAAACAATATAATTTTACATTTAGAAAAAAAAATTTTTTTTTTTAACGAACGCTTCTCATCACCATGAAAAATTCAACTTGCACGCACTTCGACGACGCCATTTTTTTTTTTTTAAATGTAAACTTGCAACAGTATAATAATATCGTTTGTAACAAGAAACATTATAATTGTTTTTAAACAACCATGTTTCTCATTATGAAAGATTATCATTCAAAATAACTATCCTATTCAAACGAACCCAAAATCCCTATCATTCTCCCTTACCACTACTACTAACCAATTATCATTATTTTTTTTTTAATTAAAACAAAACAAAACAAAAAAAATTGTCATTGTTTATAAAAATTTCCCTACAACAAATAAATAAATCAAAAATTTTCTTTTTATGCATTTTTTTTCCTAACCTTTACATATAACAAAAGGTATTATTAAAATATAAATACAAACTACGGGTTAACAAATTAATAAATTTTTTTATTTTATTTACATAATAAAGTTTCTTTAAGGGGTTGAAAAAATTTAAGACCCATTGATTTTTATTATGTTGTCCAACTGTGAGCTATGGACTATTCCAGACAACATCCCGCAGGGGTACCACAGCACTCTGTAATTTCACTAAATTAATTCACAATCGAATTTTGTTACCACACGAATGAGCCAATAAAAAACTACAAAATATCAATTTTAAACATGTGGACATAATGTTTTGTTTTAGGTACGTAAATAAGGTTATAATGCAATGGATACTCATTCACAAAAGCATGCGTTGCAAACAAAAACAAACAAATTTTTCTTATATATAAAAAAAAAAAAAATTGTTGATTTCAACAAACAAATAATGTTTGAGAAATATAACTTGCTCGCCCACTCGACTTTTTTTTTGGTAATTTTTAAGCCACACCCAAAATACAAACGACTTTTAATTATTTTTTTTTTTTTTTTTAAAGATGGGTAAAAAATCATTCGTTTTTTTTTGTCAATGAAAAAAAAAAAAAATGGATTGAAAAAGAGGAAGAAAAGGGAGAAAACTGGATCATCTTCGTGAGAAAAAAATATTCACGGGTTTTTTTTTTTTTGTATTTGGAAACCTGATATTTCGGGGTATAACATAAGCAATTAAAAAACTTTAATTCAAAACTAGACAATGGACAAATGAAGAGGAGGGTTGACCAAATTTAAGGGTGAACATCGACATGAACGATTTTACAAAAAAAAAAAAAAAATTTTTTTCGAATGTCATATCCCCCCTGTTGTTGACCTTCGCGCAACCACTGACTGCAGCAAATTTTTTTGTTTTTCATTGAATTTCTTTTTGCTTTAAACATGTTTCACACACACACACACAAAACTTTTTGTATGTTTAACTCCCTTATTTATAACCAAAAAATATAACTTGTATGTTACCTTGAACAAGTGATTTCATTTACTTTTTTTCAAATGCATCATCATCATTGCTAATAACCATTAATTCCTTCCATGCAACAACAACAACAACAACAACATTTGCAATGAAAATTTTATGAATCGTTCAACACACGAAATTCAGTTTCAACTGAAAAAAAAAACAAAACAAAAAGTTAAGTTCAAATTGTAACAAACACAAACAAAACATAATTGTGTTTGTTTATAAGAGACCACTTGAACAAAATCATAACTCACTTTAATAAATGTTAAATAATAATAATAATGTTGTTTAGGTACTTGTCCAAAATATCACACTTATATGGATGAATGGTAAAACCAGAACCAAACGTTTTTTTTTTTTTTTGTTAAGGTGTCTTCCGGTGTGATGTCCCAGCAGGTGTACCTGATCACGACCTTAAAGTTAGTTAAATACGTTAGTGTATTATCGTGTAGTTTTTTTTTTTTTTTTATTATTATACTGACACTTTGTTTATTTTTAATGAACAGAAAAATAAATTGGAAAAATATATATGTGTATGTACATGAAAAACGTTTGAAAAGCAGGTTGGTAGGTATGTAGGTAGGTTATACAGGATGTTTAATGTTTTTAGTGATGAAGTTAAACAAAACAAATTCTTTGATCTAAATTTTTTTTTAGGGTGGTGACGACATTCATTCGAATTGTTATATTCATTGAAAAAAATTTAATCCTGCGGTGGAATTTTATGAAGAAAAAACATATTTTGGGGTTATTTTATGCCTTTTTCCTAATCGATTCCTTATAACTACTACAACACTTATTAAAAATACTCACAAAATTATACTTTCCTGAATCCATTATTCCTATTT